TCCAGTGGACCAGCTTCTAGATACTTCACACACACATATTACAGTACGAGTCCATATTTTCAACATATACATGAGTAAAAATGTTTCAGTCCTTTACTAAAAACAAACCACTCACCTGTTCATTTTAAGGCCTTGTGCTCAGCAAAGTCACTGACAACACTGCTTAATTCCCAAGTCCTCGGGGAATGCTTGTTTTTTGTTGCTGTTGTTGTTGTTTTGCTTTGGTCAAACATAAATGAAAACAACTCTGCTGGATACTTTTCAAAAAAGAAATGGTTGCATAGTTGATATCAACAAGTTACAAAATATTACCACCACAATATACAGACAGCAAGATCAGGGAACACATGTAATATGTTCCCCAGCATGTCTCCCGCCATTAAAACACAACTTAATCAGTGGAGTGGAAAATAATTGAATCTGCAGCTAAAATTTAATTTGTAAGCTATATGCCGTACTGCATAAATATATGCTATACTCAAAGTTGGACTTTGAGTCTCAAGATAGAACATGACTTAAACATATAGTTGTTATAACCTTTCCACTTCAGCATAATGATGTGAATAGAAGTGTCATGTTACTATCAAGAATGCCATTGGATAGTTATATAGAGAGGGTCCTTTTTACTACTGAGCCCTACAGGCCATGTGCTCACTGCCTCATCCAGGGTAATATCTTTGCTTATTGTCCAAGTTTGAAGTGCTTTTAAAATATGTTTTACTGTATATAAAGCTTTTTCATTTTGAATTTATTGAAAGAAAAATAATAAAACTTTTGCAAAGGAATCAATACCACATGGACAGACCAAAAGGTAAAATTATAACAGCTCCTTTATACCCTTTGTGCGGATACAGTCTTTGTCTATTCACATGTAGGAAGTTCTCACCATCATGTAAGCAACAGCCTGATAATGAAGTGGGTGTTGACCTTGAATTACACTTAGTTGCTTCCCATCTTTGCTCAGTCCTTTGTACAACAAAGTCAGAATTACATATCAGCAGTACACAGAGGTTAGATGAACTGAAGCATTAACATTGCAGTCACTGATTAAGAGTCATTTTTGTATCCAAATGTGCTGAGTAAACCCAGCTTCAATTTTGAGTGTTTTTATACTTTGCTTAAAAATGAAACAGGAAACATTAAATTATATTTTTTACAGTAAAAAATAAAATAAAATAAAATAAAAAAAAACTCTTCCTTTGAACTGTCTAAGTAATCAAAAAACGAATCTGAGACTGTGTGCCATCACGTGGGGTGTGGAGTTCAATCCGGAATCATAATTAAAATTTCGCATGTAAATTGTGGTCTAATGTAATTAAAGAATGATAATGAATCCATATGTGGGACCTCTGGGGCTCCATGTTCTCCAGCCTGGGAACCACTGCCTCACACGTTAAATTAAAAGGGTGTCACGTGGGGTGTGTTCCCTGCTTTCCCACGGTCACTTTCCAAGATCAAAGGATTTGCACAAGTAAAGGTCGAACAACTGCGGGGTTAAACGGCGCGTCAGCACGAGACAGGGGCCCAAATGGCACGCGTGGTCCATTGTGACACGGAGGTGTCAATGCAAAAATTTAGGCTTCTTGCACGCTCCCCCTGCGGGGTGACTAACAAATGCAAAAGTGTGAAGTGTGAATAAGGAGGTGTCGGCATTCGCTCTAAGGAACAAGTTTGAATAAGATAATATATTAAAGCACATGCAAATGGTTTTCCGAAATCTCTACCAAAACAATTTAATATTTCCCCCAACTTTTAATGGGAAGCAACGATGGCGCACGATTTAGCGTTTAAGTAAATGTGGGATAAAATGCAGTTTAACAACAATCAACCCCCAATCTACTGCGAATAGCGAATATCATATTATTCGTTTTACACATGTCAATGCCTTCTCGTGAACTGTTTTAATCATAAAATAAGAAACATTTAGTCCAGTTTAGACAATCTCAGGATTAACAGGACTATTGTCCTAACTTGCTTTTGGTTGATTTCTGTTTTTATGTTTTAGCTTTTCTGTGAAGCACTTTGTGATTTTTGTCTTGAAAGGTGCTATATAAATAAAAATTTACCTTACCTTTTTACCTTATTTAGAATTTCATCCACTGCGTAACCAGCTCAACGGGTACAGAGACGGCAAGGAAAAGTCAAGTTCCTTTAAATAAATCAGATTCTGTGTTGACAATACACGAGACTTCATAGAATATAAGACCCCAAATCTTACTGAAATATAATGGGATTAAAGCGCAGACACATGGCCAGAAACTCCCGTGTTAGCGTTATAGGAAATACAGTTTCCAACACTCAAAATCTGGTTTTGTCACTCAGGGTAAAGGAGCTGTTGTGAAGCATTTCATTCAATGTTTGTCACCTATAGTGTGTACAAAAATGAGTTACAAATGTCATTCTTTTTATTTAAATTATTTTTTATTGGTTATTTTTACGTGTGAGTTTTTATGCATACACGTAAAATATGCGCACATTTCTGCGCAATGGGGAAGATCTCCGTGTTTGGTGAATATGAGACTGTGATAGGAGATTTAAATTAATTAAATCTTGGTTGGGTTTTAAGGAACCAGGAGGAGGGGTTTGGAGGAGGAGGAGTCTTTTAGCTACAGGGAGTCAGTAAAAAGAAGTCGAAAGGAACAAGAGCCTCATTACCTGATCGGTGTCAGCCTGAGAAAGAAGGTGTTAGAGCATCTGCAACCATGAAGCTGCTACAGGAAGCCGAGGAAGCAACAAACAATAAAAAGGTAAAAAAAAAAAAGAAAAAGAAAAAAACAACTTTGATTTTTTTTATTCACATGGGCAAATGCAGCCACTTTGACAAAGATTCTAATGAGGATTTAGTCGTTTGTTTCAATCAAATTGGAATTTAGACGCAGCTGCGATTATATTTAGTTTGTTTCTCGGGTAACGTCTGATCAACTTTGCATCACTTGTAACACAGAAATTAAAACAAAAAACCCCCCACTTTTAGACTTTTCTTTTCCTTTTGCGATAGTTAATAAAATCTCAGGTGGAGAAACGTCGAAGGGACAGAATGAACCGCAGTTTGGAGTGTCTGAGGACCATGTTGCTGCAGGAGCCACAAGAAGTAAGATCATATTTTAGTTCTCTTTGAATATGGTTCATGAATTTCAGTACTGTTTATTTATTAATGTTTTCTTTTTTTTAATGTAATGTAAAGATCAGTT